CTGGAAAGAGCTGGGTGTGCGGATCAACAGTATTAAGAGTTGTTCTGCTCAGTTTGCAGAGAGAAAAGGGCATAGGACTGAGGAATAAAATCAAAACTTCTATTCAGCCCTCCCGGCAGTCCCTCTTCTGCGGCAGGAATGCCTTCCTATAAGCCCAGCCTTCTCATTCATCCCATGGGCACAACTCCAGGGGTGAGAGCTTGTTAATTTCGTCAACATAAAAGAATTGAATGAGCCCCTATTATGTGCCAGCTGCTATAATAAGTACTAGGAACACAGAGATAACTAAGATGCAATTTGTGTTTTTGAAGCATTCATAGTCCAGCTGAGAAGATCTTGATGTATACAGGTATCATCAATGTAATGGATAAGGCCATCGTCAAGATGGGGAACTCCGTAGACAGAACTACCACCTCTGCCTGGTAGAATCAGAGGAGGCATCTCATCTTCCCTACACGGCGAATGTGCTGCTGGATTATCCTACCGTGCATAAGGGAGGGAAGGTCAGTGACGCATTGCAGCCATGTTGCACTGACTTGCAGGGTATGGTGTGGAGTGAGTTCAAGTGTTATTCTTAGTGCAACATCAGGCCACAGAAGCCTGTTAACAGAGGAGTAATACAACCTAGCTATGTCCTCTCCACCTCCCAATTTCTCCTCTGCCCCTTCTTAGTACTAAAATACTAGGAAGTTTAACCAGGACTGGCAGTTAAAGGATTGTCTTTGCTCCATCATACAGAGATGAAAAGGCTGAGGCTTAGAGAGGAATGCCAGCTCATTCAAGGTCTCACTTGCTCAACAGTAGGCTGACCCAAGCTGGTCCCTGGCATGCATCATACTGCCCAAAGCCGCTCTGAAGGAGAGGGCACCCCTGGGCTTTTATCACACCTGAGATCTGCCAAGAAGCAGGAACTAGGAAATATGAAGAGGAAAATATGAGACTCTCAGTCAAAGGTATCATATAATAGAGAAAGGTTTAGTAAAATGAGGGCTCTAAAAGGCCACTGGATTAGACAATTAAATCACCGACTTAAAGGGTCCTGAATGAATTAATTCATCTTCCATCAGACCTTATCAAGAACTGATTCAGTAGAGCAGGGTTTCTGAACCTCAGCACTGTTGATGCTTTGGATTGGATGATCTTTGTGGTGGGGGCTGTCCCATGCATTGGAGAATGTTTTGCAGCACCCTGGCCTCTACCTACTAGATGCCAATAGCACCCTCTCAATCGCAACAACCAAAAATAACTTCAGACACTACCAAATGCACCCTAGGAGGCAAAATCACCCCTGCTAAGAACCAGTCCGTAGAGCTGTGAGAACAGAAGCCAGACTCGAGGATTATTGAGGCCTCTAGCCTGGACCATGGCAGCCAAGAGCAGACTGGTGAGAGGGGTGAGCTGGAGGAAGAGGCTAGCAAAGGACAGCTTTGTTCATTTTTTGTTGTTTTAATGAGTTTTATTTCTAATGGAGAATACATTTGTTTGCCCTAAGAAAAGAACCAAGAAAGCGGTAAAGGTTAAAGGTAAGGGAAAGTCACGGAGTAGCATCCATTTAATTATCACAAACATTAAGCGTCTCCAGTTACCACACTCTGTGCCAAGCTCAGCAGATGTCATGGTGAACAAGTGAGAGGTTCCTTGTTCAAAAAAATATAGAAAAGTTTGAAATGGCAACAGAGTATTAAACCCCAAGCACAAAGCCCTTCGGTGCAGGATTGGGGTGGTGGGGGGGTGTTCTGTGCACCTGCTCAGATTTTATGTGCAGGAAGCAATTCCTAGTTGTGAGTGAGGGAGAGGTGGTCCTGGCCTCACAGAGTGTAAGCCTTGGAGTCTGGTGAACAGGACAGGCAATGAAAGGAAGTATAACAAGCACTGGGGTATGGGACATGCAGGAATATTGTTGCACACTATAACACACTTAACCCAAGAGATTAGCAGACAGAGGAAGTGATACTGACGCTTTCAGCTGTAATGTTAGGGATTACTGTCAGCCAGACAAAGAGGAAGAGAAAGAATGGTAAAGCTGTGAGGAAGGGCGTGCAAATTGGGAAGGAACCAAGAAGAGATGGTTCTGTGTGAAGGACAGGACGGGGAGGTTCTTGACAGGAAGCCAGATAATGAAGAATCTTTCAGAACATGGAGTGTTTTGACTCTGTCCTGTGAGCACAGTAATGGCTGGCTTACTTTTCAAGCAGAGAGTGGTGTGATCAGATCAGTCTTTTAGAAAGATCATTCTGCCTGGGCTAGAGGAGGACCAGAGTGGGATAGGCTGGCAGCAGCTGGGAGAGATGCTGATGGACTGCTTTCCCAAGGTGGTGGTGGATGGAATGAGAGATGGCTTAGGTGTAGGACTCTTGGCAGTTGATTGGCCATCAAGAATGAAGTTTAGACAGGTTGATTCCCAGTTTCACAGCCTAGGCATCTCACTGGGACCCCATGCAAAACTACCTGAAGAGGAAGATGTATGAGGGAAGAAGATGAATTAATTCATTCGGGACCCTTTAAGTCTCATAGCCCACAGGAGTATGAGACAGAAGTTAGAAAGGTGGTCAGGAGGCCGGGCGTGGTGGCTCAAGCCTGTAATCCCAGCACTTTGGGAGGCTGAGGCGGGTGGATCACGAGGTCAAGATATTGAGACCATCCCGGTCAACTTGGTGAAACCCCGTCTCTACTAAAAATACAAAAAATTAGCTGGGCATGGTGGCCCGTGCCTGTAATCCCAGCTACTCGGGAGGCTGAGGCAGGAGAATTGCCTGAACCCAGGAGGTGGAGGTTGCGGTGAGCCGAGATCGCGCCATTGCACTCCAGCCTGGGTAACAAGAGCGAAACTCCGTCTCAAAAAAGAAAGGTGGTCAGGAACTCAAAAATATGACTGGAGGTTTAGATTTTGGAATCATCCGTATATTGATGCTCTTGGAAGTCATGAGTGTTGATGAGATCATCCAAGGAGCATGTGTGGCATCTGAACTGGTGGGATCTGGGATAATTACTAAATGAGCATCTAATATGCTCTCTTAGAAACTGGGGATATAGTAACAATGAAGGCCAGACAGAAATGCCCCAATCCTTCTGGAACTCACAGGTTCTCGGGAGGAAGTTTCCCAAGGATGTAGAGGGGGTAGAATTCAGTGCTTCTCCCATCCCTTGATCCCACTATGCCCATCTACACTTGGTCAGTCTCCCATCTAGGATACCTGTTAGAAAATCCCACCTCCTCATACTTTTGGAGAGAGGACCTTATTTTCTGTCATTTTCCACGAGGTCTTTTGCATTTTCTCTTTCCATCTGTCTGAAAATGCAGTTACCTTCCTCTGGTGCTGAGATGCAGAAAACCCAAGTTAAATTCTGTTTTTTCCTTGTCCTGAAATGCAGATACAGCTTCAGAGATCCAGACTTTAAAATCAGGGCCCTCAAAACAATAAGCAGTTGTAAATGCTAATGAAAGCTGTGACCTTGGTGTTCTGGAACCAGCAGAAAGCCCATTAGCTCTGTGCAGCAGAACTAATCTCTGTCGGCCTCAACAAGTCAGACCAGCAAAACCTACAAGGGTTTTGTCACTTCTCTAGGGAAATGCTGTAATGTGCAAAGACAATGCTGCCTGCTCTGCATACATTTAAGGCATCTTGCTGCTACATTCTCTACCAGTCTTCTTTTTCCAAGGTCAAAACTGGTGTCCCTTTTTTTGGACTTTTATTGTTTTCGTCAGTCTGTCTATGCAAAAAGAAAGCTTCCATTTATTTGATTATTTCTTATGGTGAGCAGTAGAGACAGCATTGTTCAGAATGAAAAAGAGGCAAGATCCAATCTTAAATTTTTAAAGAAAATAGAAAACTTACATATGGCAATTGATGCCATGTGGCATTTAAACAGGAACCCAGAGATTTTTCAGTTCACCATAAATGGAGAATTATTTATCCATAGTGCATGGTAAAGAAAAAATTATTTGAGGCATGGAAACCATTTTGCTACTCAGATATTTTATAAACCAGGATCACATATATATTAGCAAAGTTACTTAAGATCACTTGAAAGTACATTAAACATTTAATTTTGGATGATTCACTTTATATAAAAATTTATCTCCAAAAATCATTGCCTTTGACACCTAGCTAAGTGATTACATATAGATGTATAGTTGGGATCTTTTTTTCAATTTAATGTCAGTTTTAATCAGATACAATGAGCTAAATCTACTGGCAAGGTGGGAGCAAGGAAGATACAGTATATTCAGAAGGCATCTTTGTTGGGGTTGCTTACATTGAGCATGCTACTGTAACATAACTTTGATTCTTGGAGTTATCAGCTCCTTGGGATGATTCATACAAGTGACCACGTCACTGTGCTCTGCTGCTCAGCTATCTATTAACCAATACTTAATAGATGCACCAGGTAGATCGATCATAAAATGAGCTGAGCAGGTGGCTGCTTTGTTGGTGAAGATGGCAAGATGTCCCCCAAAAACTCTGATGACTAGAATTCCAAAGCTGGAGCTTTATGCCTTGGGTTTGTGAATTTGTCTCTGTTCAAGGACAAATCTCCCAATGAAAGGTAATATTTGAAACTAAAATAACTCATATTCAGTATAGTTCAACTTGAAAGAATAAGCAAAAGCTACCAATTGGGAACTCCTTTATAATTCCAGTACTGAACATTGCACATCTACATGCAACCCACTCTGTCCTGCTTCCACACTGTCCCAGTAAAGAGCTGTTCCTCTTCCACTCAAAAATAAAGCCACCTCCGTCCCTTGGATCCCAAGCCCTCCTGCCTTCTCAAGATGTGGTGAGTGTCACGTTGGGGTCACCACCTGTGACCTCAATCATGGCGGGGTCACCACCTGAGACATCAGTCACCACCTGCGGAGGTCTGACATGCAGACCCTGACTCAACAACAGATGAATAAATGCACTCTTATACCCATTTCAGTGATGAAAGTGGGTTAGGGATGCTTGTTGGCAGCTTTCAGAGGGCACATGCAGCCAATCAACCAAGACTGCCTGTCCCATCCTCACATTTATTCAGTAAAGATTTCATAACAGAGGTTCTAAGTCAACACACCTGTGGATAATTAACATAGTTAAAAGAATGATTTTACAAATTATAAAAGCTTTAGGTTCCAGAGCCCAGAATAAACACCATTAATGGGCAATTCCCCTTTGACCTCCCCCTGAGAGGACCATCCTGCACAAAGTTTACATGAGTAAACAGAGACAAAGGAATATGGAGTAAACAGACTTAACTGGGTAAGCCTCTTACCGTCTCTATCTTCCTCCTATGCTGAGGTAATTGAACTCCACCCCCCACCACCTATTCTGGATTCTTTTCCATTAAGCATGCCCCATTTTCTACCATTAAAAAATAAAATTTGGGCTGGGCACAGTGACTCATGCTGTAATTCTAGCACTTTGGGAGGCCAGGGGTGGGCAGATCACCTGAGGTCAGGAGTTCAAGACCAGCCTGACCACTATGGTGAAACCCCATCTCTACTAAAAATACAAAAATTAGCTAGGTGTGGTGGCACGTGCCTATAATCCCAGCTACTCAGGAGGCTGAGGCCAGAGAATCGCTTGAACCCAGGAGGTGGAGGTTGCAGTAAGCTGAGATGGCACCACTGCATTCCTACCTGGGCGACAGAGTGAGCCCTTGTCTGAGAAAAAAATACAATAAAATAAGTACAATAAAATAAAACGTGTCCAGGTGTGGTAGCTCACGGCTGTAATCCCAGCACTTTGAGAGGCCAAGGTGGGAGGACAGCTTGAACCAAGGAGTTTGAGATTGGCCTAGGCAACACAGAAATACCTCAACCAAAAATTAAAAATTACTAGGCATGGTGATGCATGCATATGATCTCAGCTCCTCAGGAGGCTGAGATGAGAGGATCATTTGAGCCCGGGGAGTTGAGGCTGTAGTGAGCCAAGGTGGTGCCACTGCACTCCAGCTTGGGTGACTAGAGTGAGGCCCCATCTCTGAAAAATATAAACAATAAAATAAGTAAAATCAAATTCCACCACAGCCTCCTTCACTTCTACTTCTCTCACCTCCTTCAAAGCCAGGCTTCATGGTCGAGTCCTCCATCCTTGTTGCATCCACTTTCCCAACTCTGACCTCAGCCCTCTCCAATCTGGCTTCTCTTCCTGCCACCCCACTGAAGGGGCTCTAGGTATTGTCAGTAACAGCCTCCATGGTGGTAAACCTAGTGGGCATTTTTTGAGGCCTCATCTAACCTTACAGTGGCACTCAGTACTTTTTTTTTTTTTTTTTGGAGACGGAGTCTCACTCTGTCGCCCAGGCTGGAGTGCAGTGGCATGATTTCAGCTCACTGCAACCTCCACCTCTCGGATTCAAGAAATTCTCCTGCCTCAGCCTCCTGAGTAGCTGAAACTATAGGTGCATACCTCCATACCTGGCCATATTTTTTGTATTTTTAGTAGAGACAGGGTTTCACTGTGTTGCCCAGGCTGGTGTCAAATTCCTGAGCTTAGGCAATCCGCCCACCTTAGCCTCCCTAAGTGCTAGGATTACAGGTGTGAGCCACTGTGCCCAGCCAACACTCAGCACTCTTTGTTGACCATACCTATCATCTTACTGTTAACAAAAAGATTGACATGGAGGTCAAAGCAGATAGCACTTATTTGGGAAGTAAAGAATGGCAGTTGGGGTACACCAAATCAGGGCAGCCCTGAAGAGTGCCCCATAACACAGGATGCAGGAGAGATTTTTCTTTAAATGGAGGATTGTCACAAAACACTTTTAAGTGATCTTCAGAAGTAGTTCATTGGCCAGGCAGAAATCCTAAATCACAAGCCTGTTGTGATTGGTTAGTTAATGAGAGTACTCTCGGCTGAGGTGTTGAAGGCCAGCAGATGCTGACTTCAGTTGTTTAACTGAGTCTGTTGGAACATCCCCTGGTTTGACCTTCAGCAGGTGTGAGTGTGATCCTCTTGCAACCTTTGACTCCACTTCAGAAAGCCTTAGCATTAGTTACTAAGCAAGGTTTCCCATTACTTTGCTTCCATGATAGGATATTTTAGTTCTTATCCTACCTCCAAGAACTGCCCCTCCTCAGAATCTACACCAGGGTCATCATCTAGTCCATGCATTCAATACTGGAATTCTGCAGGGCTCCATCCTAAGCCCTCTCCTCTTCCCATTCTCTACTCTCTCCATACTCATGACTTCAAATATTGTTTCTATTGCAGACTCCCTCAATGGCCTAGACCTCTCCTCTCCACTGAGCTAAACGTACCCGGCTATCTATATGACAGCTTCATTCATGTGTCTCAGGAGCATTCTGACAACAGAGTAACAGATCCAAACTCAAATTCATGGTTTTCTTCCACTCTTCCTTCACAAACACGCTGGTCCTCTTGTAATGCCCCTGCTTCAGTGAACAGCATTCCCATCCATCTAGTTGCATGAGTTAGAAAACCTAAGGAGATATTCTGTACACCTGCTTCTTCCTGTCCACTCATATGCCGTGTCTACATGACTTTCTAAAAGCTTACACATCACCGCACAGCCTCACCCAAGCCTCCATTGTCTCTTACTAGCTGTGCCAAGCTTCCCGAAGCCTCTCCTCAGGTTACCTCTGGCCTTCCCCAATCCCTTCTCCATATAACAACCAGCGTGATCTTTTTCCATTGTAAGTCTGATCGTTTCATTCACACCTCTCCTCTCACTCCCTAAAACTTAAATTCTTCAGTGGCTTCACACTGATCTTAGAAAAAGAAGATCAAAATCCTGGAAGCAGCTGTATTAGGCCATTCTGCACTGCTATGAAGCAATACCTGAGACTGGGGAGTTTATAAAGAAAAGAGGTTTAATTGGCTCACTGTTCTGCAGGCTGTACAGGAAGCGTGACGCTGGCATCTGCTTCTGAGGAGGCCTCAGGAAGCTTCTAATCATGGTGGAAAACAGGGGAAGCAAAGGGGTCTCACATGGGAGCAGGAGCAAGGGGGAAGTGTGCTACGCACTTTTAAACAACCAGATCTCACGAAAATGCACTCACGCTCACTAGAAAAGCACCAAGGGGTTGGTGCTCAACTGTTCATGAGAAACCACCCCCATGATCCAATCACCTCCCACCAGGCTCCACCTGCAACACTGGGGATTGCCGTTTGCATGTGATTTGGGTGGGGACACAGATTCAAATCATACCCACAGCATCTGGCCCCTGCCCTCCTTCCCATCATCCTTCTCCCCTTATTCTCTGCCCAGAGGGAGCATCCTTCTTCCATCCCTGAGCTCTGGGCACAGTGTCACTTCCTCCTGGAAGCCTATTTGGTCAGATCCAGGCCCTTACTCCAGCTACATTTTACACTTATTTCTGTGACTCTGATTAATGGCGACCCCCCCCCCCCCCGCCCCATCCCCTTCCAATCGTCTCTATTCCAGAAGGGCAAGGACTGGTTTTGCTCATCACTGTACCCTGGTACCTAACACAGAACCTGACACAGAGCTGGCGCTAATAAGTAGCTTGCTAAATGAATGAATGAGTTTACATTTGAATGTAGCTGAGTCTCTGGCACCGATTTCTAAAACAAGTCTTGACAGGAATGAGATAGAGCAAGAGTGATGACATAATTCTAAGAACTCGAGAGGGGAAGACTCCACAGAGCAGAGTAAAGGCAGAACCACAGACACTTTATCTCCTTCACAGTTTTGCCTCATGCCCAGCCACCCCCACTTCCATGCCACTGCTGAATGGTTTTTGTTTGACTCAGCTCTTGATATCCAACTGAGATGTGCAAGAATGTATATAGTCCCTTCTACATGGGCAGTGAAAGTCTAAGTCATGCCCAACTTGCTTATTGTTTTGAGGATATTTTATTACATTCCAAACTGCTGATCCAGTTTTACCACGCACATTGTAATCACAGATGTGCACCTCTAGTCTGTGAGCCCTGTAAGAACATGCCTGGCCCTCTATGTGGCCCCTAGTTCATGTTGGGTAGATTGGCAGATGAAAGACTTAGGAAAACAAAAATTGGAATTCTTATCACTTGATGATCTCATCCAGGGGTCTCAAACGCAGAGTCCCTTGGGGTCCAGGAATTATCTGGAAAAAAAGAAAAGGCAAGACAGATGTGAGTGTGCTCACCTGTATTATCTAAGTGAGACCTGGGGACTGGGCTAATTGGACACACACTCTGTCTAAAGGCATTCAGGCTCAAAAAAAAGGTGTAACCGGCCAGGTTCAGTGGCTCATGCCTGCAATTCCAGCACTTTGGGAGGCTGAGGTGGGTGGATCACCTGAGGTCAGGAGTTTGAGACCAGCCTGGCCAACATGGCAAAACCCCATGTCTACTAAAAATGCAAAAACTAGCTTGGCATGGTGGCATGCACCTGTAATCCCAGCTACTTAGGAAGCTGAGGCAGGAGAATCGCTTGAACCCAGGAGGCAGAGGTTGCAGTGAGCCAAGATGGTGCCACTGCATTCCAGCGTGGGTGACAGAGTGAGACCCCCATCTCCAAAAAAAAAGTGTAAGCTCCGAGCATGCCAACGAGAACTGATAGAGTCAAATCCAGTGCACCGGGTGTCAGTTTGCAACTTCTGACTAGTAAAGTATCGTAATTATGGCAGACAAAATATTGACCACCCTTGCACAAGATGTCCACCTCCTAATCCCCAAATCTACAAATATGTAACTTCCCAAAGCAAAGGAGACTTTACAATTGGAATTCAGTTAAATATCTTAACATAAAGATTAAATGAATTAAAATACGCACAGTGCTTGGAACCATACCCTTACATTATAGGCATTAAATCAGCTTTAGCTTATTAAATTAGTATTTATTATTTGCAGAGAAAAGAACATAGGCCTAGCTGGATCTGATACCCTGTCTGAGCTACATAGGTTCAGAGCAGAGCTAGAACTAGAACCCAAACCTCCTAGCTCCTGAGCTACTTAGTGCTTTGTCATTACAATGCCACCATATCATTTTTCTCTCAAATCTCATTTTCAAAGTCAAAACAACTAACTCTAGCACATGCCTTTCTGGAGGGCTCAGCTGCATTTTATAGCTATGATTAGTCTTGATGTTCTCAGTCCCTTTCCAGAGAAATTAAACATAAACAGAGGACCTCATTTGAAATTAGGTTTGTTTGACTATAAAGCAGCCTAGTTAATAAGAGAATTTTCTCTGATCAGAGTCTAGTCACTCCATTTTGCCCCCTCCAAATATGACTACCCATTTAAAAAAAAGAAAAACCACCACAGAGCCAGTTGTCATGTTCAGTAATGAAAACAATGGCTGGCACAGCCCGAGCTGATGAGGGAACATTGTAGTCTACAGACACTTTGCATAAGAGTCCAAAACACTGGCCTGACCTCCAAGATGCAGGCGCCACCCACATTTACAAGGCTTTCTCAAAACATCCTGCCCCCAAAGCTTAGCTTCATTGAAAGCCTGGGTATTACCAAACCATTCCATAAAAGTGGCTGTGCATCCCTTATAAAAAGCAGCAAGTATTTTTAGGGAAAATTAACTGGCAGGTGAGAAAGAGCTGTTAAGATCTTTCAAAGTGGAGTCGGTGAGCTGCATTCCAGACCTCTGACACTAGCTCACTCAGTTGTATAATCATCACTTTCCTCCCGCAGCGTGAGAATGCTATTTTAGAAAGAACTCAAAAAGTTGACCGTATCCAAATTTAGACCCTCTAATGTTGCGAATTTCCAAACATACAGCTGGCCCTTGTCAATGGGGATCAAAAATGTCTTAATGGGATGGCAAAGTAAAAAAGAAACAAACGTTGGCTGGGCGGGGTGGCTCAGGCCTGTAATCCCAGCACTTTGGGAGGCTGAGGCAGGTGGATCACCTAAGGTCAGGAGTTCAAGACCAGCCTGGCCAACATGGTGAAACCCTGTCTCTACTAAAAACACAAAAAAATTAGCTGGGCATGGTGGTGGGTGCTTGTAATCCCAGCTACTTAGGAGGTTGAGGCAGGAGGATTGCTTGAACCTGGGCGGTGGAGGTTGCAGTGAGCTGAGATCGCACCACTGCACTCCAGCCTGGGCAACAAAAGCTAAACTCCTTCTCAAAAAAAAAGAAACTTTTTTCACTCTACTCTCACACTTAACATGACACACTTCTGTGACCCCACACGCTTCTGTGTGAGGCAGTTCCCCACACACCAAGCAATCCTTCAGCAGACACCAACTGGGTGTCCTGTAATTCAGTTTGATTCTGACCCTTTGTACTGGGATAGAATCAGATCATATAGGTTAAAGACTCAGTCCCACAAAACTGCCCCCCACTTCAGACGCCAATACCAAGTCATAGGTTGTCACTTATGACCCACTAGCTATAAATTGGGGTTCTCACAACTTCCTCCTGGTGTTCAAATAATTTGCTAAGACAGCTCACAGAACTCAGGGAAACACTTATTTTACCAGTTTCTACAGAGGATACAGATGAACAGCCAGATGAAGAGATGGACAGGGCCAGGTACTGGGGGAGAGAGGCAGAGCTTCTCTGCACCCTCTGGGTGCTACCCTCCCTGCAGTGCCCCCCAGCCCCGTGGTCAGCAACCTGGAAGCTCATCTAATCTTGTGGTTCAAGAGTTTCCATAGAACTTCACCTCCAGCTCCCACCCTCACGCTTCCCAGCTGAAAGTCCAGGCTTCTAACCGTGTGATCCTTCTGGTGGCCAGCCCCATCCTAAGTCACCAAATTAGCACAAACTCCAGTATGATCCAAAGGGACTCATTCCAAGTAACAATACACTCCTGAGACTCCAGAAATTCCAAGGGCTGTAGGTGCTCTGTGATAGGAACTGGGTCGAACACAAATACGTTTTTATATACCACAGGGATATTCTGAAAAGGAATAATAGGGAAATGTTTTTATACTCTGAAAAATACTTTGGAATGCAATTTCCAACACTTTCAGGGTGCTATAGGTTTGACAGGCAGGTATGTGACCAAAGCTCCTTTCTCTGGCATTGTATTAAGCCATTCTTGCATTAATCTAAAGAAATACTGGGGACTGGGTAATATATAAAGAAAACAGGTTTAATTGGCTCATGGTTCTACAGGCTGTATAGGCAGCATGGTCCTGGCATCTGCTTGACTTCTAGGGAGGCCTCAGGAAGCTTCCAATCATGGAGGAGGGAGAAGAAGGCGGCATATCACATGGCAAGGAGGTGCCACACACTTTTGTTTTTTTTTTTGTTTTTTTTTTTTTTTGAGACAGTCTCACTTTGTCGCCCAGGCTAGAGTGCAGTGGCACAATCTCTGCTCACTGCAACCTCCACCTCCCAGGTTCAAGCGATTCTCCTGCTTCAGCCTCCCAAGTGGCTGGGATTACAGGCATGTGCCACCATGCCCAGCTAAGTTTTGTATTTTTAGTAGAGATGGGGTTTTGGCACCTGGTTTTAAATAACCAGATCTCGCAAGAACTCACTGTTAAGAAGACAGACCCAGATCATGAGGGATCCCCATCCAAGCACCTTGCACCAGGCCTCACCCCCAGCAATGGGGATTACCATTCAACATGATATTTGGGCAGGAACAAATATCCAAACTATATGGGACATTGAAACCCATTCCCTGTATAGGATGTGTGGTGGTAACACTGGAATGTCACTGAAGCAATTGATTCTGGCCCAGTGCAATAAAGAGAAATACAAAGGACAACAAGCTTTGAATTAAAAATATAGTCCTTTCTGGGAGATTGATTCCAGGACTTTCTTGGATACCAAAATCCAAGGATCCTCAAGTCCCTTATATAAAATGGCCTAGTATTTGCAAAAAACTATGCACATCCTCCCATATCCTTTAAATCATCTCTGAATTACTTATAATATCTGATTTATAAAGAAGTTTAATTGGCTCATTGTTCTGCAGGCTATACAGCCTTGTATCTAATACAAGATAAGTGCTGTATCAATAATCATTAGACTTGTTTTTTTGTGTTATTAATATTTTCCATCTACACTTGGTAGAACCCAGGATGTGGAACTCATGGATACAGAGAACCAACTATAGTTATATTTGGAGACTTCAGTCACCTAATATTTTCACTCTAGGATCTCTCTTCAGATTTCAAGATGTGAATATCTTGCCAGTTTCTAATTCCCAAGGAGGGACTGCAACTTCCACAACTGAGAGGGCATCCTTGCTACCCCTTCAATCCCAACAGAGGTCTCTGAGAAGCCTAAAATTCCCTCCACAATGATTTAGTCTCTGACACACTTCATCCCAATGAGTGAAGTGGAATGTTGGATAGTTGCAGGGTTGTTAAATAATTACCAATAGCTTCAAAGTTACAGTTGTCTGTTCCTGCTCAGGCCCCCTGAATCCATGTCAGTCATTCCTGGGACCTAATACAGGCATTCTCCCCTCGGATGCCATGCCCGTTCCCTGGCTACTTCTGTCACGACATGCCACCCACTGCCCGTCCCTGCCTCCACCCATGGCGTCATCACAGGCTCATGCCCTGGCTATGATGTATCACTTACAGTGGCTAAACTTCATGCCTGGCCACAGGAGTGTCATTTCTGTTCCTCTGTCACTCACGTCTTCTAAGGCTTCCGAATAGAAGAGCAGGACCAGAAGAAGAGCAGCTATTGTTCTTTGCAGACAGACACACTCTCTCACATGTCCCTGTGGCCACAGGCCTCTTTATGTTCCCACTGGGTCTGCACAGAAGAGGCAGGAGACAGGTTTTAGCCTCAAGGGAGAGAGAGAGAGGCAAGAGGCCACAGTCCCCAAGTTAGGAGGCCACAGGGAAAGAAAGGGACTTCTGTGAAGGAAAGTCACGTCTAAGTTGCAGTCCACTTGCCTGGGGGCACTGGAGGAGCCGGGGCTGGGGAGGGGCTGCTGGAGGGAGGAGGGCGGGGGTCAGTGGCTGTGACATGACGCACATACCTCTCCTGGGCTTGAAATTGAGGAACTGAGGAGGCGGTGGTGGGGAGAGTCAGTCTTTCAGAACACAGGATGGAACAAGAACTCCAGCCACTGACTGTTTCATGTATCTGCAAGGGCTGAGGAGATTAATGACCCAAGGAGGCTATGATATGGTCCAAAAACTTTTCCTGGATTTTTTCCGTAGGCGGCTGAGCCAGAGGCCAACTGCAGAGGAACTGGAACAGAGGAACATTTTGAAACGTAAGTGACTAAGCCCATGGCAATCGCTGATGTTTTGTGGTGGCTTTTGTTATTATTTAATGGTAGGCCACAAGGTTTCTAACTTGCGCCTGTGCGGAAACGACTGAAAACCTTTCTAACGCTTGAGGCTTCATCCGTGCATGTTAGAACACCAAAGACGACCTCCCCAAAGAGAAGGCAAATTTTATTCCACTTTGTTCTTTAGAAGCTCACAGACCGCCGGCAGAACCTTCCCTTTAGGGAGTTGTAGAGTCAGAGAGAAGCTGAAAAATTAGAGTGAGACCACTTATTATTTAATGATTTTTAAGGGTAGGGTCACCTTTAAACCAGAATTGGCTTTAAAACGGAGACTGTGATACAGGCGCCTAAAATAAGGGAAATGGCCGTTTGAACCGAGCCTAGAAAGCATGACTTGCATTGCAGCTGCTGCTCTTGATAAAAATTCCTCATTCCATTGAACATTAAATTTCAAGACTCAGAAAGCATTTCCAGGTGAAGTGCTTCATGTCTGTCTCTCAGGATTCCCACAGCTGGTCCCAGGCATGCCTGTGTGATGTACCCATTCAAGGAAAAGTGCCTTTCACCAACGCTGCAGACAGAAACAAATAAATGAGCCCCTTGTTTGGTTTAGGACACAGAGATATTTGAATATATACAGAGGATCCACTTGGTGCTAAAAAAAAAAATACTAAAAGAGATCAAGCATTTGATGGACACCAGTATGCATCAGTTTAGTGTTAGATATGAAATAATTTAAAAATCAAACCATTCTATTCAGTTAGTGCTACCATTCTCACCAACACTTGTCTCAAGATAGTTAACAAATATTTCTCACTTAATTCATTACCCTGTTCCCCCTACCCCACAACACGCTAGTAATTTCTCTCCAGAAAAGAAAGATATATACTATGCAGAGTTTTCTAGAAATGCTATGTTGTACAGACGCAGACACCGCTTCCCACTCCCCCACCCAGTCAGTCACATGCAACCGCAGTGTGAGTTTCCAGGGTATTTCCACTGTAACCACACTAACATAGTCTTCACTTCACTGTCCCACCATGCTCACTGTAGCCTTGTGACTTGGTTGGCATTTCGTGGTCTGCTAAGGATAAGGTGCTGGGTTCTGTTCTGATGGGGGGGCCCTGTTGCCTGCAGCATCCACTCCCACCCCCAACGCCCCCACATGTCCATTTATGTCAAGTTTGCCTTTATCAACATCCTGCCTCCCGCCCCATGCCAACGGCCACGGCCTTAACTCTCAGTGGAAGTTGTTTTCGGGATTGGCCTTTGTCAGTCCTAGGTGCGCCCTACGCACTTCCTAGGTCTCTAGGAATGGGCGTTTACTTTTTTCTGCCCAAGGGGTACCCCTTAAAAGTTTCCAAGCTTAATATTCTCTATAATGAATTTAGAGCTTTACAAAGGATTTCCAAAGTCAGAGAAGCAACTGGGCTGTATGATGTCTTTTTTTATGCCCCAATCTGGTACCTGAGCCATTATAAACTTTCCATTTTTGGAGAGAAAGATAAACAGCCAGGTGAACTTGTGCCCCTGCTGTATTTGTGGCCTCTGACCTGAGGCCTAAACTCAAAGAAGCTAAAAGCCTCTGGGGGATTATTTAGGTTTCAGAAAATAGTGCTTATCATACCAGGAGTTCGGTTTCTGGAAAGAGATCTAAAATCCCCCAGCTGAGTTCTGGATTCTCTCAAAGGCATCAGTTCCCACCTGTGGCTTGCCCAGATCCCTGGGACACCACAAGTCTGTTGAGCTTCAGTTTTTACGGCCATCTAAGCAGGTAACTTAGATTCAGGGAACTAAAAAGGAGTTGTGGAAGATTGTTCCCATGGTTCTCTTTTATTCTCTTCCCTAATCCCTCTTGTCCTGGCCACATAGTTGCAAATTAAAGAACTACTTGACCAATTCAAACAGGTTGATCATTTCATAGTTTTGAAACTTTCCAGAAATCAACTTGTTTTCCCATAAGTTCTTATTTTTCCCTGTATTCTGGAACTGTGTTCTCCTATTTTTTTTAATTTAATCTATTGCAATTGTTAAACAAGAAATGTCTAATGGTATAACACAACATCCTCCAACAGCTTGTTCTAAAACTGATTTTCTGAGCTTTTCAGTCATTGAGGAACTGCTCAGTGTTGAGTGGTGGGAAACAGGGCACGGAAACGTCATGGCTCAGCCCTGGAGCTGGGAGAGCCTTGGGTTGGTTTCCAGCCCCACCCTGCCTGGCCCTGGGAACAGCCCTTGTTCTGTCCAGCTGCCAGTGAGGCCCTGTGCACCTCTGAGCACATAATGAACCCTCTGATGGTGGCTGCTGTAATGATGATACTGTGGGCCTTTCCTGGCCTGTCTTCCCAATTGCCTATTCCTGGCCTGTCTTCCCAGTTCCCTAATGGGGTTGTCTTGGTACCTTCTGCCTGAGAGTTCACGAACCTGAGTTTGTCAATAGCTTTGAGCTAAAGGTATCGATTCTGTAGGTGGTAGCTTGTGGCCCCACCCCTCAGAGTAACCTAAGAAGCACACACAGGAGATGAAGGCTCCAGGCTCTGTCAGCTGCGTCACAGAATGCCTGCCTTCATGGCTCCCGTAGGGTCAGAAGTCTGAGGCTAGTAATGAGGAGGAGAGCCAGCCCCATGCAAAACATGACCACAGGAAAAAGCCTATCAGTGTAACCACTGAGCCAGGTAGGGTGTGACTAGCCTCTTAACACCCCTGAGCCTTCAGATCCTCAGTTACAAACCAGGAGTGGTAGACTAGGTGGTCACTAGGCCCCTTCATGGCCCTAGTATTTTGTGCCTTTGAAATTTTCACCATGGGCCCTGTAGCTGCTCCCGGCGACCCAGCATCCAGACCACCTTTCTTTGCATTTGTCCTCCCACCTGAGACGTCTCTGAATGGGAGCTCCCTCCTTCTGGTTCTTGCTGTCTGCCTCCCCATTTATCTCTGCTATTCTTGCTGTCTGCCTCCCCATTTATCTCTGCTAGATTAATTCATACTAAGATATTAATGGCTGACTAGTTTCATAGGTTTTATCCCACTGAAATTTGCATTTGTACAAACGTCACTGTGTGGGGGCTCCCCAGTTTGTCTCTGCTAGATTAATTAATACTGAGCTATTAATGGCTGACTAGTTTAATGGGCTTTTATTCAAGAGAAATTTGCATTTAAAAGAAAAACAACTCCAGGAGGGAGATAGGATCTCTAAATCCAAAGGAAAGCTCGCTCATGGTGAAGGTTTCAGGCACTGTAGGGTAGGCGGGAGCAGGGACCTCTGGTGACCTCAGCCGACAGCAAGATGTGGCTGTTTCTTGTGCTGCTTTTCTGCAGAGCCTGCTGCCCACAGGTAGTCGGGGGGCAAATTATGTCCAGAGGGGTGGCCCTCAGGAGTCTGAGTTCTGCTCTGAACTCACACCACTTGTGCTAGTGGGAGGTATAGTCACCTTTAGCATGAAGGTGACTCAGTTATCAGATGGTCCCCACCCCTTTCTAGGCACAGCAGTTTCCTTCTTTAAAGACCTGTCCCACACTGAGACAGTCAGCAACCATACCTGAATTTCATGTGTGCACCAATACAACAAACTAATGAAGTTACCGAAATACAATGTAACAACTGTGATTTTCAGAATGAGCGAACACCTGTCCCAGGCAGTTGTGACGCACCCATGCCGAAATCAACCTTTCCTTTTACTAACGCCATTTGAAATTTAATGGCTGAGAATCACAGGCCTTCGATACAAGCTGACTTCTATAGCTTTTTCAAGTCCAACAATGCTATGCTGATATCTGTGCTTTCATAGATATCAAGGAATTCTTCCAAGGTCCAGAAGGGAAACGGTCTACCCCAGGTCATCCAGTTAGCTTAAAAGGAGAAATAAGCCCAGATTCTCTGCCCTTCAATTATCTGCCCCCTTCCCCATACTCTCTTATCTACAGCTCTTTAAAAATCTGATGAGTAAGTCACCCATATATTAAGTCAAGAGCTTATAGGCTCTGCAGTCTACTCTTCTGAGCCACTCCTAAAGAGTCTAAATGCAGGCAATTGTATCCCTGTGCTCAAAGCACTATGGCCTCACCTGTGCTTTGTGGACTTCTCAGAAGATTCAAAGAATTGATGGAATCACGGCTTGTGAAAGGCGAGCATTTTGAAAATCCTCCTGCCTTGTCTTGTTCCTGCATCAGGCTGAGGCTGGTCTGTTCTCTCTACCCCCACAGGGCACCAGACACAAGGACCACATCAAAATGAGCCCCCTTCAGTGTCTGAGAGCTCAACAGAGAATGAGTGAGCCCTAGTCTTATCCAAAGAAAGGAGCCTCACATCTCCCCAAATGCCCATGTGTCCTTGTGTCAACATTCCCACCCACCTCCTTGGGCTGTGCAGTGGCTCGCACCTGTAATCCCAGCACTTTGAGAGGCCAAGGCAGGAGGATTGCTTGATGCCAGGAGTTCAAGACCACCCTAAACAACATAAGGAGACCCCCCCTCATCTCAACATAAAATTTTAAAAATTAGCCAGGCATGGTGGTGTGCATGTATAGTCCTAGCTAGTTGGGAGGCTGAGGTAGGGAAATCACTGGAGCCCAGGCGTTTGAGGCTACAGTGAGCTACGATTGCACCACTGTACTTTAGCTTAGGAGAACGAGACCTTGTCTAAAAATAAAAAATAAAAACCTACCTTCCTCCCTTGTAGCCACATTTCTCAACCCAGCATCTCTGCCTGGAGACCTGAAACCCCATGTGATGTAAAGAAAACAAAATGACAAAGTCAACCTGCTCAGGAGCAATTTGAAACAATGCAGGTAGTTTGGAAAACTGTCCCCATAAAGAGAAGGGCAGCTTGGGGAGGGGACAGGAGCGCCCTCTTCCCTTTTTCAAACTGAGATGCTTAGCCTAGAGCCTGCCAAGGTCCAAAGGATGTCCCCGTACACACAGCACTGTTTACTAAAATAAAAAACATCTTAAATATTTCTTTCAGCTCGGAATGAACAAGAGGAACAGGAGGAGAAGAGAGAGATCAAGAGGAGGCTAACCCGAAAGGTGAGCTGGTTCTCCAAGCCAAGAGCTGGGACAGGAGAGGGTGGGCTGCCCACCACATCTCTGCCCTCTGCTGGCCTCGCTGCCTGGTTCCTCTCCTCCTGGGTCAGAGGGCACCACTCTCTTACCTCTAAGACCTCTCCACTCAGCTTCATGACCCTCCACCCGGTCCTTTTGGTTGGTGGCATTCAATGTTGTTTGATTTTGTGGCACCCACCTACTCCCAAACAACTTGATGGCTATTGTGTTACATTTTTGATTATACTAAATATTTTGTTTTAAAAAATTCACTATAATGCCATTAAGTAATGGGAAATTCATAATCAGAATCAGTAGTTCAAAGGCCAGGTGCAATGGTTCATGCCTATAAACCCAGTACTTTGGGAAGCCAAGGTGGGTGGATAGCTTGAAGCCAGGAGTTCAAGACCAGCCTGGGCAACATGGTAAAATGCTGTCTCTGCTAAAATAAATGTACAAAAACTAGCTGGGCATGGTGATGTGCACCTGTAGGCCCAGGTACATGTTAGTCTGAGGCGAGAGAATTGCTTGAGTCCAGCAGTTAGCTGAGATCGCACCACTGCACTCCAGCCTGGGCGACAGAGCAAGAATGTCTCCCCTCCCCCCTAAAAAAATTACTAGTTCAAATATTACACAACTATTTGCTAAGACCCCGGGAAAGTATGGACTTTTTTTTTTTCCAACCCTATTTCCCAATTCCTAGGGAAAGATACTATTCTTTCCCTAGGAATTAAGAACTATGCGACTTTATTAGGCTAAATTGTGAAAGAACTGACAAAATTTAAAGAAGACATTTGAGAAGGGCATAGATAAAAGTCATAACATTGGAATTTTAATATATTCTTAACCCCCAAAATAGATGGTTTGGCAGTGCGCTGGAGCTCCTCATGCATTCGTTCCACGCAAGTGTCCTCTTTCATAATAAACTCATGGTGAAGGCTATTCCTGGATGATGTTGAAAAGTTTAATTAACTGATGACATGCAAGATGTAATACTCTCTTCTGTCTGATGAAGTCAGAGTGTTTTTAATCAGCCTCCTACAGTGACCATCTTGAGAGAAAGATACTCATATCTTAGCGACAGTCAAGAGGCCCGTTAACATTAATCTTAAAAGGGTTTATTAGTGGATTCTTCTCCCCAGAAATATCACACAAAGGAAGAAATTCAGAGATCCTGAAATATCATACCAATTATTAAGGTGATGGTTTATATTTCTCAACACTTTCTCTCCCTGAGAGCATCCCAAATACCTGGTGACAAGCCAAATGCCAACCCAATTAACAAGAGCAGGATAAACAAGCACCTGAATGGCCAGAGGACTGGCTGGCGTCAGCCTGGTGGAGACTAGAGCGAAAGCTAAGTGACCTCACCAACCAGTTGCTGTCCCACCTGTGAAGGCTGGACCCTTTACATCCTTAAGCCCACCCACTCTTTGGACTCAGGGGGCAGTTTTTACTGAGATTAAGTAGTGAGAAGAGCAGGGGAGATGCATTAGCTTTTTTTCATGGTGTCCTTGAAATGACAAGGATTTGAAGAAGACACTGTGATAAACTTTCATTTCTGATACAGAAAGATCTAGACACTTAGGGAAAAAAATTGTTTAAATCAGATTTTCATCAAATTTTTCAGGATTGGTGGCTGGACCCCCAAAATTCCCCAAATTTTAAGGTTGCTTACTAAAAGATGGTCACAGAGAAATACTTAGACATTTATTTAATTCCTGTCTCTTAACAAAGTTGATATGATTTTATGGAGAACCTGACTAATTGCATGATGTGGCAATAGGCAAGGAGAGTCTTCCTTTCCATGCCCATCTCCCTAGGGTGGGTAACACTAGGGATGGGGACCCCAAATAGTTCGTAATTTTTGCAGGTCTCCACAATCATAATTGCCTCTTTCTCCTGCTCACCTCTCCTTTCTTCCCCGTGGGAAATGGCCTTGGAATTTTATCATTTGCCTTCCCCTGGGACTGGCTGGGGGAATTAGAAATAATGAGCCTGAAAGAAGGGGATAACTGCTTCTAAGAGAGAGGCTGGAAGGACAGAGGGGCAGCTTCTGCATCTGCTTTTTCGGGCAGAGATGTGATGCCTGCCAGCAGGTAGGGAACCTACATCATCACTTGCTGGCCCTGTGCAGGTTCTTTTCCTCTTGGGCCCTTATTACACTGAGACCAGACACCAGTGGTGGTGGCTCCTTTTCAGTGACTTATCCTCAGCCCAAGGATTTCTTCAATAAAGTTCTATTTCATTGTAATGCACTAGTAAGAAAAATTAAAAATGAACATGGTAACTGAGGCTGATAGCAACAGACCAGTCATTTTCTTCAACCAAATTGGGACTAATATAAAAAGTACATGTTTTGCCTTTTAAAAAACATGCCTGTGGCCAGGCACGGTGGCTCATACCTGTAATCCCAGGACTTTGGGAGGCCGAGGCAAGTGGATCACGAGGTCAAGAGCTTGAGACCAGCCTGGCCAACAGGCTTAAACACCACCTGTATAAAAAACTAGCTAGGTGTGGTGGTGGATGCCTGCAATCCCAGCTACTCGGGAAGCTGAGGCAGGAGAATCACTTGATCCTGGGAGGCGGAGGTTGCAGGGAGCCAAGTTTGCACCACTGCACGCCAGCCTAGACAACAGAGTGAGACTCTGTCTCAAAAACAAACAAAAATCAACATGCCTGCCTGCCTTCCCCTTCAAAAAAAAAAAAAAGATGCTAGCTGGCTAAGTGGATGAATGGATGGATACGTGCCTGGGAGGGAGGAGGAAAGGAAAAAAATACATTTGGGTTTAAGTTGTATTCAAAGTAGAATCTGGGGCTAGGCACAGTGGCTCTCTCCTGTAATCCCACCACTTTGGGAGGCTGAGGTAGGCAAATCATAAAGTCAGGAATTTGAGACTAGCCTCTCCAATATGGTGAAAACCCATCTCTACTAAAAAACACAAAAATTAGCTGGGCATGGTGGTGCATGCCTGTAGTCCCAGCTACTCAGGAGGCTGAGACAGGAGAATCACTTGAACCCGGGAGGTGGAGGTTGCAGTTAGCTGCGATTGTGTCACTGCACTCCAGCGTGGGTGACAGAGTAAAGAAAATAGAATTTGGGTCTTAAGTTACTTTTTTTTCCTTTTGTTTAAATTGGTTGCACATATTATTGCTGCAATACACAATACAAATGCTACCACTCACTGCCCCCTACTCCTTCTACCAGCCCATTATTCCCAGAAAACCTGACTTTGCCTGCAAAGACTATTTTTGCAGCATTCAAGGAAAGGCCTCAGGTGCCAGATGCCCCAAGGGCTACAGCCAGCAGCGGCCAAAGGTGCATCTTCTGAGCCCTTTGTGGTCAGCGGCATGAGCCCACGCACACAGAGGAGCATCCTGGTGGCCGTTAGTTAGTGCTGGGATTTGTGCACTAACTGCAACTGTCAGGGGCAGCAGCCAGCTGCATCCTCACTCATTCCCTCTGAGCACTTGGGTGCAGTGTGGTCTTCGATTGGAAAGGCGGTATCTAAGGCCCCACAATGTTCAGACACAAGAAGCCATCACTGACCTGCAGTGTTTATGCTTGCTTTGCAGTTCATCTAGACTCTGCCATAGATACTATATTAGTAAAATCCGGGTCACAATTTCCAGGAAGAGAAATTTGAAAATCAGGGCTTAACAACTTTTCTTACATCATGGGGCACTTAGAAAATAACACCTTGGGCTGGGCATGGTGGCTTTTGCCTGTAATCCCAGCACTTTGGGAGGCCAGGAATGGTGGATCACTTTAGATCAGGAGTTCAAGACCAGCCTGGGCGATATGGCGAAACTCCACCTCTACTAAAAATACAAAATTTAGCTGGGCAAGGTGGTGCACACCTGTAATCCCAGCTACTCAGGAGGCTGAGGCAGGAGAATTACTTGAACCCAAGAGGTGGAAGTTGCAGTGAGCCAAGATCATTGCATCAGTGAACTCCAGCCTGGGCAGCAGAGTGAGACTCCATCTAAAAAAAAAAAGAAAAATGAAAGAAAATAATACCTTGTCCAGCCTCTTGGGGTAAACTCGACAAGTCCTGAGGAGCACAGACAGGATCCTGAGTAGGAGTCTGTTTATCCAGAGTAAATATGGCAAACGTTGCATGTTTTTATGTATTTTAATTATAGCACAAAATCTCCCTGCACTCACATTGCAGAGAACACATTTTGGAGTCAGGATGACCGCTATTTTTGTTTACGGTGACCACAGCCATAACAGCCTGGGAAGCCTGTGGGTTCCCGCAACAGGCCCACACTGGTGCCAGAATGTTGTCCTGCCCAAGAAAGCCAAGGGAGGGCTACATGCAGTTTAGGCAAGGGGTAGCCAGAGCCTGCTGAAACCCTGATCTCCAGAGCTTCCTGCCCTTGGCCAAGAGGGAGCTACAGGCCTGCCTTGGCCCTGTTCAGGGTGTGATAGCATCTGCCACTCTTATCTGGTATCTGCCAGCCATCTTCTAATTGTGGTCTGCCAGCATGGGAGCAAGTTGGAACATTCTCACATCAGCCAAGGTGTCTGGCAGCTGCCTGATGCAGAGTCAGAACCGCCAGGGTGGTTTGGACTCCATTGTGTTTGTTTTGTGGGCCTGAGTTGCAAGATTCTATAAGATCATATCTTCTAGTAATAGAATTACACATAGCCTAGGGCTTGGAGGGAAAATGGCTTTTAAATAACATTGGTGGAACATCAATTGGCAGCATCCTAAAGGAAGCAACTGTATTGCTCCAGGAGAAATAACCCTGGTGACAGGAAGAGATAATAGAAATATCAGCCTTACGTTACTGAAGTATTGGAAGGGTGTTCATGGATAATATCGGGACATGGCAAAATACATTATCCATCTTGCTTTTACTTGTTTCATCCCTCATTCCTGCAGCCCTTCACCATGGACCATCCCAAGGGCTGGTCCATAAATGTGCCTTTTTCTGTACTTACTCAGCTCCACCTTTGTTGACTGACCTTCCCCTTGAACTTCTTGCAGAGGGCTGTCAGTAATGTTTGAGCTGACCTCTTCAACCGGCAGATTCCCATCCCTGCATACCCCCGAGTTTGCATACCATTTGCATGTACACTTTTTTGTATCTAAAACACACACAAGTGCAAATTCATCTTGCAGAAAGCACTCAGTGTGACACACAGATGTGGACTCACAAATCCAAAATAAGACAGAATCGCTGTAGAATGTCCCTGTCACCTGGTGGGAGTAGGATAGATAAGAAAAAATCCACAACAGGTGCCCACAGCCAAACAGAAAGACAAGCTTATGGTAAAGACTAGGACTCAGCAGTGTTAGGAAGACAAAGACTGTTTATTATCGATTTTTATAGGTGTATAAACAGTATTGTGAATATGTTTTAAAGTCCTAATCTTTAGATATTCTATACTGAAATATACACAGATAAAATGATATTGATGCCTGTGACTTGTTTCAAAGAAATCCACATGTGGATGTAGTCAAGAGTTGACAATTGGTGAAGGTGGTGATAATGCACCAAATTCATTATATCAGCCTCCTTCCTTCTATTGAAAGTTTACATAATAAAAGGTTTTGTTTAAGTTTTAAAAAAGTTAGAGTTTGGCCTAGAGGGGATGTAAGGGATAATAAAGCTCTCTCTTAGGATCTAGGAAGGTCCCAGTTCCAAGAGTCAGGAGACTTGGGTCCCTCCCACCCACCACCCGCCCCCGCCCCTCACTCACTGTGTGTCCCATCCATTGCCTTGCCGTATTTTCCACACCTGCAAGTTCACAGACAAGACCAAGTGCCATGGTCGACCCCTCTGGCTGACTGGGTCCATCTCTCTTCCCTCCCTGCAGCTCAGTCAAAGGCCCACGGTGGAAGAGCTTCGGGAAAGGAAGATCCTTATCCGCTTCAGTGACTATGTGGAGGTGGCTGACGCTCAGGACTATGACCGCAGGGCAGATAAGCCGTGGACCCGCCTCACCGCTGCCGACAAAGTAAGCAGAGGGGAGCGCTGGAGAGTGGGAGGCAGGGCCATCTGCTGGGTGTCTCACTGGGCTCACCACTGGGGACCCTACAGGCAGACCTGCAGCCAGGCCTCAGCCGCCATCCCATAACAGAGTGCTGGGACCCCAATACCTTTCCCCAGAGGCCACAGATAATCTGTGGAGAGGCCACTGAATTGGAGAAGACACAAGCCACATAATACTGTGCCTGCTTTACAAGAGGAATAGCAGCAGCCTAGGAGACTGTGCCCAAGAAAGAGAATAGCATTGGATAGGCACAGACAGGTGAAGGCACGAGGCCTCAGGCTCATCACAGACCTTCCGTATAGGGGACAGTGCTGCCAGCACCCAACAGGGGATTCACCAAACCAAAAGACAAAGTGACCACATAACCTCAGTAGAGCAATAGTGAACAAATCAAAAAGACATCACAGGCCAGGCACAGTGGCACACGCCTGTAATCCCAGCAGTTTGGGAGGCCGAGGCAGGCTGATCATGAGGTCAGGAGTTCGAGAATAGCCTGACCAATATGGTAAAACCCCATCTCTACTTAAAAAAAAAAAAATAGCTAGGCATGGTGGCAGGCACCTGTAATCTGAGCTACTCAGGAGGCTGAGGCAGGAGAATCACTTTAACCCAGGAGACAGAGGTTGCAGTGAGCCAGTATCGTGCCACTGCACTCCAGCCTGGGCAACAGTGTGAGAGTCGATCTCAAAAAAAAAAAAAAAAAGATGTCACAAAACATATCTCACTGCCCTAAACCACCGATTGAGAAAACAAAAAGAATAATCTGAGGTTGAGTTTATTTAAGAAAAGCAGTGATGCCAATGAGAAATAATTTTCTGTCTACTAGATGAGGTATCCAAATGAAGCTCTGTTTGGTAATCCTCTTGATTCTACTCTGGTTGCCATGAGGAACTGGAGGAGGGTTAAGGGTATTTTTAAAAATGTAGCCTGGGCCAGGTGCAGTGGCTCACACCTATAATCTCAGCACTTTGGGAGGCCAAGGTGGGTGGATCGCTTTAGGTCAGGACTTAGAGATCAGCCTGACCAACAGAGTGAAACCCCGTCTCTACTAAAAATACAAAATTAGCCAGGCATGGTAGTGCAGGCCTGTAATCCCAGTTACTTGGGAGGCTGAGGCAGCAGAATTGCTTGAACCTGGGAGGTTGAGGTTGCAATGATCCGAGATCACACCATTGCACTCCAGCCTGGATGACAAGAGCGAGACTCTGTCTCAAAAAAAAAAAAAAAAAAAAGTAGTCTGGAATAATGATTCTGCCCAAAGTGTAGGTGATGATGGAAACTATGGAGTGTGTTGGGGCCTTCTGCTCAACAGTCCGGCCTTCACTCTGTCCATTTCAGGGACCAGGGGTTTTCTTATACGATACAGCAGCAAGTCATCTACAGCCCAGGCTGGCTGCATTATCACCAACCCTTGGTACAGGAATTGTAAGAAACATGTATGCAGACACACTGCTGCACTCTGATGGGACTGGGTGGGAATGAAGTGGCCAGAAGCAGATAGACTTCTCCCAGAGATGATCACAGGTGGGTCAACCCATAGACATGATGTGTGGAAGACCATGCCCTCCTCTGTAAACACAGCATTCACATCTTCCCTGCAAGGGAATATGTGGGAGCTACCCAAGAACTGGCACTGCCATGTCCCAGACAGACAAACCCAGCTCCCCAGGAGTGTGTCATCTAACTATGAACAGAGGAAGGGGCTTCCACTCTTGTCCTATTTGTCCTCTCCTGACCACTCTCTCACTGTGGTGTGCTTGCAAGGATAAGGGTATTAGCAAGTGTGCAAGGAAACCACAGGCGTCTCTACTTGCACCCTCGTAGAATTCTGAGTAGCTCTCAGGCCGAAAACATATACAGTTTCTCTATGGCTGTTGGGGACAGAAGACAGAAAGCATGGGGTGCTCCCCCTACCCCGTCGCCCCAGCACCCAAAGCAGCTTAAAGCTAAGCAAGCCTTCTTTTCCTGGCGAGGCCATTCTGATCCTACATGAAGACTTTCAATCCTCAAACTCCTGAGGCCTTGATATTCCCATCAAAGCAAGTATCAGCCATAGACAGAGCTATGCAGGAAGGCACATGTTTGCAATTTCCACCCCCGAGGAAGGAGTGAGGCTGTCTGCAGCCTTAGCTGCCTTCTCTATCAGCCTCTCCTCCTCCCCTGCTCCCTCGTGACCTCTCTTTGCTGACTGATTCCAGGCCCTGCCATCCTGGACAGTACTGTAAGGATGGGGTGATTCGGGATCATCTCCGAACATGCAAGGTTATTGAAAACATATCTCCATGGCGAAATACATCACTGAAGAGTCAGAAAAGCTGTAAAAGAGCAAAAGCAAAGGGTTAGTAGGGAGCTGTCCATCACCTGTCCCTCTAATTTGGTTGGAGAATTTGATCCACACCTTCTGAAAGTCTCCACCTGGAGACATCACTGTGCCTGTGCTGAGCTTTGTTTATTTAGAGAAGATGAGAAGTTGACATTTACTGTGTTCTTGGGCCCCCAGGAGTGTGGGGTAGGTGTATACCACCATTGATCCCTCAATGCCACAGCTCTGTTAAAAGAGGAAGAAAAATACACTTGGGCAATAGTCTGTCATCATTTCCAATTTAGATTTAGGGAAGGAGGGGAATCTTTGTTCTAAAGGACATCTCAGGTGATTTTTCTTCCTCCCATTAAGGAATTCATCTTAAACTTGTTTGTCTTTGTGCAAGAAGAAAATTATGCTGTTAGGAATAAAATGAAAGGGGAGTTCCTTTCTGTCTCTCCCCATGCACACTGATGGGTCTCTCTTGATTCCAGGCTGCCATCCGCAAGGAGCTCAATGAATTCAAAAGCACTGAGATGGAAGTTCATGAATTGAGTAGACACTTAACAAGGTTAGTACTGAAGGTTTTTCCTTTTTTCCCCCCCAAATTGTAATATTTATCTCCAAATGAAGCTCTCCCACTTGCGGGTCACGAGTGGGTTGGTGGTGCCGCGAGAGGGAAGATAATAGGAAGGTAGGTATGCGGTTCCATTGAGGTTACTGAAACGAGGAAGAGGAACACAGACGGCCCAGGCTAAAAGCAGCTTTCTCCAAAGTCTGAGTTTCACTCATTTAAACTAAAGGTCTGATAAGCACCAGACTACTAACAACCCCAAGGTGGGTTTTCATGAAAACTTAGGTCAAGGAGAAATGATTGTTGCCAGTTTGCAAACAGGCAGCAGAAACCTGAACAAAATACAAAGTCCACGTGGGACTTCCAAAGTGGACTGCTTCTGTTATTCCCTGACATTCTCCCTGACAGTCCGGAATGATGATAATATTTGGGAAAGCTGAGGCACAGAGTCATTAAGAGGCATATATAAGGTCACATGGCTAGTTAGCAACAGAGCCATTGACTTAATTCTGACTTTCTTTTGAGGGGAACATTAAGAAAAATAAGATGTAGCAAGTATTTAGTCTAGAGACTCAGAGATATGGATTGGGTTCTGCACCTTGCGGCTGGATCCAAGATGATGGCAGGGGCTGGAGGCCACCAGGGCTGCCCCAGAGGAAGCTATTTCAAAACCAGGTGCATGTTCAGTGGCACTCCTGTGGGATGATGGTGGGAAGCTTGCACCTCCCTCTCAGTCAGGAACCTCCTGAGGAAAGAGATTGGACTGTTGAATCGCATACCTTTGGCAGCCCCTCGGTCTTGATTTAATTATTTGTTTCCTTAGGTTTCACCGACCTTAACAGTCAAATTCCTCTTGAGTGCTATGCTGTCTTCAAAACATAAATTTATAAGAACCGTAAGTGCTGGTATTTATTCACTTCCCCATTACGATGTAAATCTTCTGAACTGCCTTTTTTAAAAAAGAAGAAAAATCAAGGAAACACAATCAGGATATTATGTGTGAAAACGCGAAAGTGATGGCTCAGGGGTCCGAGCCGCTGGTCCCACTTCTGACACCAAAATGCGTCCCAACCCCCGGCAGTGCCAAGGGCATTGGCAGGGCCCTGACTGAAGACTTCCCGGCAGGTGGAACAGTCCTTGTCCTCTCCAACCAGGCCCAGCAGGCACTGCCTTCATGAAGTCTCCAGCAAACCTCTTCCTCACAAGTGTCTGTCACCTGAGTCCAAAGAAAGTTGAAAGGGTGGGTTTGTTTTATGGCGGGGGGTACTGTGCAAAGCTAATGATCTGGTTGGACTTCTACACTTGGCCAAATGTACTGGCTCCAGACATGACATCTGGCTTGGGGGCCCTTTGGAGGTGACACCAAGAGGGAGGGAGCACTTATCAGTTGCCCCTGGCTTTTCCCTCCAGCCACCACCCACAAAGTGAACAAAAGGTAAGGGCCCATTTCTGGGAGAGCCTGGCTGCCTCCTGGCAATAAAGGCTGGCACTGAGCATCTATCCTGCCCCCCGCCTGAGCTGAGCTGCCTTTCAGGAAGCTCTGGTTTAGATGGGGAAAGTTGTCATGTGCTCAGTTCAAATAATCAACCCATCTGTGTTCAGAGAGTCCAATGTCATGAGTGATCCATGCACACTCACAGCCATTGCTAAGGTACTCCTGTGCTATTTATAAGTCTGAGTGGGAGGACCCTGTTGAACCCTGTGGGATCAGAAACTGCTTGGCTGACATTTACTTTCTTTGTGTGCCTCAGAGCCGGTGAGTATGTGGCTTGGGAGTTCATAGCTTCTGTGTATAGGACCAGTGCATGCAGGCCAGAAACCATTCATGTAGGACTGGCTTTCCAGCCACCAAGGGACTGGTACTCCAGAACCACTCCATGGCCTTTTTTTTGGGGGGGGCGGGGGCGCTGAAGAGTTTCTGTGAAGGAGCCCCAGAGTTGGGCATGTGCCAGAATCAGGCCGACACCAGCCACACCTGCCCACAGTGCCCTTTTCTGCTCCAGTTGGTCCAGAGAGCTCCTCCCTCTCATGACGCTATCGAGCATGACTGCAGGTGTGTCTCTGACAGGGACATCCAGGGTTGGGTGTGCAATGAGGCCAGGACCTTCCTAGACCCTAACAAGCATCCTAATGAGGCCCACTGTAGCTTTCATTTTTCTTCCTAACAGAGCTCTCTCGCCTTCTGGGGTGACTCCATAGTTACCCCAGTCTTTCTAGGTGGTAGCACGCTCTCCACCACACATGTCCAGGATTTAGAAAGATGCCAGCTTGGCCTTTCCAAAAAGTTAACCAGTCTTCCCACCACAAACCCTGTGGGAGCAGGTTACTCTTAGGATGCACACCTGTCAATGAGGCCATTACATTTTTTGCAGGCATGAACGGCTCCCATGTAGGCACTAACCCAGGAGCCAGACAGCTGCTGGAAGAGTTCCAGACAGCTCTTTGGGCAGTGCCTCCAGCTGCAGCTTTGCCTTGCCACCTGGAGCCAGCACGCCTCTGCCCGACCCAAGGAGGATGCGATCACTAGATCTATTTTTCTCTTTTTTTTTTTTTTTTTTTTACTGTTGAATCTGAATAGTTCCTGCTGTGGGGAGAGGTATTGTTCAGGGAAAATGTGATTGGGATTTTATTGTGACTGTAAACACAGTCTTCCCGAAAGACTTACTGACGTTTGAATGTGCAAATGGTATGACGAAAGATGTAGGGCTCTTTCGTTGAATTCCTCTATGGCAGGCAGGTAGGCACGTGTTCCAGGTGGAGGTGCCTGCCGGCCATGCTTTGAGTCTGAACTTCCTCTAACTGCAGCTGGGTTCCCCAGCATGACGGTCCTCACTGGCCAGGAGCGAGTCCTAAAGAAACTCATTCCATTGACTGGACTCCTCCCATGATAGGCCTGGCCCGTGGCTTCTCTGCTGGCCTTAGTTCTTGGCCCTTCAGATTCCCTGGGGATATAAGGCCCAAGTGGCTCTCCCTGCAGCCAGCCAGCAAGCAGCCCAAGGTTTCCGCCCAAAGTGCCCTCATGTTGTAGTCCACTTTGTGCATGGAAGAAATTGAACACAATTTCCACTGCTCTTCCTGCAGGGCCTGTTTTCCAGAAGTCACTTGCTCAGACTGAGGGGTGCACCTCCCCTGCCATCGACAGGTCCTGCGCCTTCAGGATGGGCTATTTCAAGCCCATTGTAAGTGGCTCTTACACAGGCTCAGCAACCTCTGTGGCCTGCAGGATGGGCCCTCTATCTCTTTCCTTACTTAAAACCTTAAGGTCTTTCTAGAGATCTATTCAAATTTCTTTTTATTTTCTACAATGTCAAGACAACTGCAGCAATTCATGTTACTCTCCAAGAGGACAATTTGACATTAATTAAGGGAAGAAATTAAAAGGTGCGCTAGATGACTTCAAATGCATCTTTTTTTGAAAAAGCTGCAGTTGGCAAGTCAAAGTTTATTTTGTGTGTGTAAATTCCCAGTTGAGCATTTTTTTTCATGTGGATTAGACATTGAGAGACCCTGCCCCCAATCAATGACTGATGAAGAGACCGCCATCAGCCTACTAGCTTTTTTTTTAATGGCTGATATATTCATCTCCAAAGGCCCTCAAAGCCCTGTAGAACTTCTAAAACTTTAGCCTTTGTCAGATTAGAGAAACCAAACAACGTGACGATAAATGTGACGAAAAGCTCTGAGTTTATTTTTCTCCCGCTTCTGAACATGTATTTATTTTTATTTGCCGAATGAAAATCGTGGTGTGTTGCTTCAATGAATGGAATTTCAGGCTCTCCCTGTGCACAGCTGGTGGGCAAAGGTCACCTTAAATGACTTTTTCTCCCTATTTGTCTGTTAATCCCCAGACCAGTTGCATTTTCCAGTTGCTTCCTGGGTATCTGTACATAGTTTGTCTTTGTATAGGAGTGAGTGTGGTGACCGTCAATCCCCTGATCTCCCAGGTTCTAATTTAAAAGATGACAACTGTATGAGGAAAACGATGTAAATAGAGAATACAAATTGAACTGGATCTCTGTGGCCTAGGTTTTGTACATACAGAAACTGCATGGTATTTAAATTATTGTTTGTCTCTGATGATGTATGCAGTTTCTTTAAAAACAAACCAAAAAAAGTCTAAAAAAAAAACCACACAAACCCTTGACTCTGTGTGTTTTATCAACCAGCAGCAGAAACCACCACCAGTGCTTTGGGAAAGGATGGGGGAATGGGAGAGGTTGGCTTCTCTGCAAAATCTATAGCAAGAGTGAGTGGACACACAGGGCAACCACTTGTCTCTGGTATTATTGGGGGAAGGAAGTATTGTAGCACATACATTAACTTTCTAGAAGACTTTTGTACTTTTTTTCCTCATCCTTTTTATAAGAATATCTAAAATGTCAACTGTCCTTTGAATGATCTGGGAATAATGAACATAAATTTAACTTGTGAAATCACTCAGGGTCATCTCTGTAGTATCAGGGATCACTTTGGACTGTCACTGCAACCAAGCAAAACCCCCAGGCAACTTTGTTGAGTGCTTATCTCTATTATATTGCCGTGGAGTCTCACTCTGTCACCCAGGCTGGGGTGCAGTGGTATGATCTCTGTTCACTACAACCTCTACCACCTCCTGGGTTCAAGAGATTCTCCTGCCTCAGCCTCCCAAGTAGTTGGGACTACAGGTATACACCATCACACCTGGCTTTTGTTTTGTATTTTGAGTACAAACGGGATTTCACTATGCTGGCCAGGCTGGTCTCAAACTCCAGACCTCAGGCAATCCACCTACCTCGGCCTCCCAAAGTGCTGCGATTACAAGTATAAGCCCCAATGCCCGACCTCCTTCTCCGTTCTTGAGAAGCCTGAATATTTGATCTATAAAGCAAAGAGCTTCATTGCATAACGTTCCAGTTACTAACTTGTCGCTTTGAAGGCTTTCAGCAGAAGCAGAGGGGCTGTATTTCAGGTGGGTGAGGTTGCTGGGTAGCATGTCTTTGGTCCAGCAGTGCAGAAAAGCTGTTCTGGTTGAAAAATAGTCCAGGTCCAGACAGGTTCACAGATGAATTCTACCAGACGTACAGAGGAACTGGTTCCATTCCTTCTGAAACCGTATCAAACTATATAAAAGGGCATCCTCCCTAATTCATTTTATGAGACCAACATCATCCTACCAAAACGAGACAGAGACTCAACTAAAAAAACTTCAGGCCAATATCTATGATGACCATCGATGCAAAAATCTTCAATAAAATACTGGCAAACCAAATGCAACAGCACATCAAAAAGCTTATTCATCGCGATCAAGTGGGCTTCATCCCAGGGATGCAAGGCTGGTTCAACATACGCAAGTCTATAAACATAATCCATCACATGAACGAAACCAAAGACAAAAACCACATGATTATCTCAATAGATGCAGAGAAGACCTTTGACAAAATTCAACAGCCCTTCATCCTAAAAACTCTCAATAAACTCGGTACTGACAGAATGTAACATAAAAGAATAAAAGCTATGACAAACCTACAGCCAATATCATACTGAACAGGCAAAAGCTGGAAGAATTTCCTTTGAAATCGGGCACTAGACAAGGATGCCCTCTCTCACCACTCCTGTTCAATATAGTATTGGAAGTTCTAGCCAGAGCAATCAGGCAAGAAAAAATAAAGGCTATTCAATTAGGAAAGGAGGATGTCAACCTGTCTCTATTTGAAGATGACATGATTGTATATTTAGAAGACCCCATCATCTCAGCCCAAAATCTTTTCGAACTGATAAGCAACTTCAGCAAAGTCTTGGGATACAAAATCAATATGCAGAAATCACAAGCATTCCTGTATACCAATAACAGCCAAATCAAGAGGGAACTCCCATTCACAATTGCTACAAAGCGAATAAAACACCTAGAATACAACTAACAAAGGATGTAAAGGACCTCTTCAAGGAGAACTACAAACCACTGCTTGGCGAAATAAGAGAGGACCCAAACAGATGGAAAAACATTCCGTGCTCATGGTTACAAAGAATGAATATTGTGAAAATGGCCAAACTACCGTAAGTAATTTATAGATTCAATGCTATCCCCATCAAGCTACCAATGACCTTCTTCACAGAGCTGGAAAAAAACCACTTTAAACTTCATATGATATCACAAGAGAGCCCACATACCCAAGACAATCCTAAGCAAAAAGAACAAAGCCAGAGGCATCACACAGCTGAACTTCAAACCATACTACAAGACTACAGTAATCAAATCATCATGAGACACAGACCAATGGAACAGAACAGAGGCCCCTAGAAGCAATACCACATATCTACAACCATCTGATCTTTGACACACCTGACAAAAATAAGCAATGGGGAAAGGATTCCATGTTTAATAAACGTTGTTGGGAAAACTGGCTAGCAATGTGCAGAATGCAGAAACTGGACCCTTTCCTGTCACCTTACACTAAAATTAACTCCAGATGGATTAAACATAAAAGCTAACACCATAAAAACACTAGAAGAAAACAGGCAAAACCATCCAGGACATAGGCATAGGCAAGGACTTCATGACTAAAACACCAAAAGCAATGGCAACAAAAGCCAACATAGACAAATGGGACCTAATCAAACTCCAGA